GCTGTCTGGTTCCTCCATCCAGGCAGTAGCTTGCTTGCCTGCTGCTGCCATTGTGGCCCCATCCCATAACAAAGAAACAGAATTTCCAGAGGCTGAGGCCCAGGACTCAGGATTTTAAAAGGATTCCCAGGTGATTCTAATGTGCAGCCAAGGTTGAAAACCACTGAAGTAGAGGAATGAATTGTCTTCAATGAGTTTTTTAGTGCCTTTTTAGAAAGAGTTGCTCTTAACCCTAAGGTATCAGAGCAAAAATGAGCTTTATAAGGCTTTAGTCTCAAAAAAGTTAAGGTTGCTTTTACTTAAGGTTGAGACCATGAGAGCTGAAGTTTAAACCTATTGCATTAATAATTATCTACTACTGTGGAACAAATCACCCCAAAATTTGGTAACTTAAAACAAGACACATCACCCACAGTTTCTGTGGGTCAGGAATCTGAGCATGGCTTAGCTGGATAATTGGTACCGGGTCTCTCACAGGCCACAGTCAAGGTCTTGGCTGGGGTTGCAGGCATCACAAAGCTCAACTGGGACAGGATCCTCTTCCAAGGTCACTCATGTGGTTGTTGGCAGGCCTCAGGTTCTCATTGGCTTTTGGCCAGAGACACCAATTCCTTGCCACATGGACCTCTCCACAGAGCAGCTCACAACATGACAGCTGGCTGCCATCAGAGAGAGCAAGTGCGGGGACAAAAAAGAGCCTTAGGCTTGCCAACATTCACTGGTCTTACCATGTTCCCCATGACCCTTACGCAGCAGGCTTGATAGAATGGTGAAAGGGTTTTTTGAAGACTCAGCTAGAGTGTCTTCTAGGATGAGACAATGTCCTCTAGGAAGTGATATTTGCTCTAAATCAGCATTTAATAGACTGTCTTATTTCTCCCAGATCTGGAATGAAGGGGTGGAAATGGGACTGGCCTCTCTTCTTATTATCCTTAGTGACTAGCAAAACTGTTCCTTCCCAGTCCCATGATTTTAGGCTATAATGACAGTGAAATTTATTTATAACAGTTCTTTACCTAGTACTTAAAATGTTGTCCAAATTATTTCCTTCAAATGCATAAACATGTCTGTAACTCTAAATATGTAGTGATTCACTCTCTCCTCTGAATGCTTGCTTGGAGAAGTTCATGTTCAAAACTTCTGCTTATTTTTTGGCATCTACGGTCAAACCAAGCCCATTTCTGTTCTGTAGCCATAACCAGATATCATCGCTCAATTTGTGTTTACTATCAAGATTGGTTGAGAATGGTGAAAGCCAAAACGAGAAGCAATCTAGAGATTAGAGACAAAAGTACAAAGTCTGTAGGCTGGGAACCAGTGTCAGCCATCCATCCACGGTCTGGAGCCCACCTGAGGGGCTCACTCTCCACATCCTTCCTTTCAGTAGCAGCCAGTCCTGCCTTCGTTTCCTGAGAACATCTTCATATCCATTCTAGCACTTATTCCTTACATTGCTCTGTTTCTTCTGACTAAAATGCCATCCTGTATATCTTCTGACAATCCAAATCCTAACACACAAAGTCCAGCCAAAATCTTTTGCATGAAAACCTTTTCTAAAGACTATATGTCACAGCAGTCTCTTTTTCCCAGTTCAGAAACTTGACTGCCTCTTGTATAAGCGAGTTGGTACTCAATCAGAGACAAATATTCTGAGATCCTGCATGGCTATCCAGTCCTTGTCTTATATCAACTTTTAATTTATGGACATCTTGTTTCCCTAAGCTTCAACAGCAACTGTCTTCAGTACTCTTGGATTGTTTCACCTACTCATCTTTACGGAGTTTGATGGTACACATTTTTAGCTACTTAACAAATTTCTGGTAGTGGATCGGACCCATGCCGTATATTATCAATAACTCGTTTGAAGATTCAAAGCAGAACAACATGCTTAATTTGCAAAACAGAATTCCACATTTCATAAGCATATTTTTTTTTCACCTTAAAAAACACACAAAACCCATACATCTCATCAAACACCTACCTGCAGAGACTCGAGGGCAGTCAGGCAGCATGGACTCCACCGAAGTGTCTAATGGCTCTGAGCTAGAGACCCAATTACAGCAGTTCTGCAATGTGATAGAGACAATTTCCTGGTGAAGCATAATTTAAGCCAAGACCAACTTTACAGGTTGTAGAGATTAATTTACCCACTAGAAGTATATTCAATTTATTTTTCATACACTATAAAAGGTTTTCTTATGCAAACAGTCAGTAATTATTGATGACCTACATGACTGTGGAAAGTTTATCTTCTACAATTCTGCAAATCATGTGTGTTGATATTAAGAATACAGGTACCTTCATTAAACCATCGTATATAATAAAAACCTAATATGCAAATTGTCTTCTCAACGGGAGTTTGACCACCAGAGGGCGGCATGGAACATGGCGGGTGTTGGTGATACACTGTGACCTCTCCCCGGCTACCTGGGGGCGGGGGTGACAGGGGCAGAGGTGTGGTGAGAATGCGGGGTGTCTGCCGAGCATGCTCTCACTCCCACTGCTACCCTCCCCCAGGACGCCAGGGCTCACACACTGGGGAAGCTCCCGTACTCAGGTGCTGGGCACCTGTGAGGAAACCACACTGCACCTGCATGGTGTCATCTGGGTGAGCCAGGCTGCAGCCACCGGGACCACAGGGGCCGGTTGGGCTCCCTGTGGTTTTGCAAAGAGCCAGTCTGCGAGACCGGCTGGGAGATAGCATGCTGCCTGTCTGGCTTCCATGCAGCACGGCTGGGTGGCCCAGAGGACCACGCTGCGCTCCAGCCCGCAGTGTCTGGTCGCACTCACAGCATCTCTGTGTGGAGACTTGGGCACTGTGACTCAGACAGATGGGGATGCTCAGGGGCCAGGGAACCAGGTGCTGCCCAGGGCCCAGAGGTCAGCTGGGACCTGCCCTTCCACACCACATGCTTCGTGCACGAATTCCATGCACCGGTCCTCTAGTGATGTAATATATTTCCAAGAGAAGGCTAGGATTATAATTAAAATAAACTAAAACGGGTGTCCATTAACAACTTTTAGATAGAAATTAATATTATTTTGAACACATGAAAAAGTAGCTACATTTTAAAACTATATTCTTTGTCTTTGTAATACTAGAATAGATTTTATACTTACTCCTCAAAATCTGGCCCTTATAATGATACCATCTCTTAATTTTTACTTCAACCTGGATCAATGAATGATGTATTAAAGAGTTCAAAAGAAATACAATCTGGTGAATTGTAGTGGTGTGTCTGAGGACACAAAGCTTTCAATAGTAAAGATAATAACTTACAATTCAGACAAATGAAATAAAAATAATTTATATTCCTTCCATACATTTTAAATCTGACTTTAAGTCTGGCTCAAAAAATGTGATTAACCTCATATATATCTCTTAAAAAATTTCCAAAACACACACACACACACACACACACACACACACACACTCACACACACACACACACAGACACTGAATTTCCAGATTTTATTTTAAAAGAAATCATCCCATCAATCATGTTGGAAAAATCGCTGATTGCCATTCTGGTAAACAACCACGTATTGTGTATTTTTAGATGCCTGCTGCCCTGGTTGTGCACCATGGAATCCGTCCTCACTGTGGAAAGATCCTTGACTGGTAGATCAAGTGTCTTATTGTGTTTCCTTAATTCATTGTCTGGAAGAAGATGTCAGCTGTGTTGCAGTGAGGAGAGAATTTCAAAGGCCCCAGTCCCCACCAATAAAGGCTGAGGAATGGCTTTTGAATAGATTTGTCAAGGCAACCCTACTGTTCTGGGACCAGGGAGAGCAGGAATAACATAAAGGAAGGGTTGCTGTATGAGATTAGAAAGTGAAGTTCACAAAGCATGGCAGATTTTTGCAAGAAACAGTAGATCAATGAAACTATTGAACTGTGTGGAAAAAAATCCATGAAAACAAACACAACATCTAGTAATGTTCTTAAATGCTTTCTTTTTTACATTTAAAATGGATAAAATATTAGTGTTTTCTTGTATTATAAAAGCTTGAGGGTTTAAAGTGGATATGTATTCTTAACTTGCACTCCTAATCTTAATTAGCAGCTGAATGCAAAATTATACAATATAAAAGAACAGAAATTATAAAAGAAATGGGGTTTTAGAAGATATTTCATACATTTGAAATAAGTCAAATTAATATTACTATTGATAGAATACCACATCAGAGAGTTCTGGATAATGCAGAAGATTAGCAGACAATTAGCCAGCTTTTATATACAATGTGACACTTGCTTGTAAGAAGTAAGTATTCTCCAAAGCAGTGTCAAGATATGTAAATGGATGATTTGTTTTATCATTCATCACAGCCCCTAATAAATTCAAAAATCATGACTTCTATAGGTACTAAAAATAGGCTCCCAGTGATACAGGGAGATAGCTTCAATGAAGAATGACTTTCTCTTTCTCTCTCTCTTTCTTAAACAATTCAGTCTTTTCAATGACAGCAATTAGCACTACCGACAGACAGGCAGCGATTAGGCATATATTTTAATTATTATTCATCCTAGTAGTACCTCCAAATCTGATGAAAGTCAGCTATTACCCAGGTGATATGTCACTCTTAATACTGCCCACATACACTTCACATATGTAAAACTATGTCTTATAGGATATTTCTAGTATTAATAAAAGTGATGGTGCATTACAATGTGCAGGCGATTAATCATTTTTTAACACCTACCACTGAATTTAAAAAGCTGAACAAAATGGATTTTATCCAGGTCACTTTTAACTTAAACATTTAAAGCAAAATGTAAGTTAACATTTTATGATTCTGAAATTTGTTTATATCTAGGCATATGTTTGGGCTTTAAATTTTTTTTTAAAATTATGTTTTTATTGATTTTAGAGAGAAGGGAGGAGAGAGAGACACATTGATGAGAGGGAGAAATATTGATTGGCTGCCTCCTGTACGCCCCCAATTGGGAATCAAACCCGCAACCTGGACACGTGCCCTCTTGGTGCATAGGACAATGCTCAACCAGTGAGCCACACCAGCCAGAGTACATGTTTGGGCTTTGCTCTCTCATAAAAATAGGGTAGAAAAATAAACATGTTATAGTTAAAAGTATGTATAAAAGTTCTCAGGAATGACAAAGTACCTGTATAGAATGGTAAAGGTTTGATACCAAAAATTTCATCAGTGTATACATGTGCATGTGTGCATTTGTGAAATCTTTATCCTCCCCAACCCGCCCTAGGAAAAAATATATAGGAAACTGGGCAAAACAAGCTAAAAATAGGTTTTCCATGTCATAGAGTATAATGAAATAAAATAATAATGTAAGCACACTGGAAAATATATGTAAAGAAAGAAGTATGAGAAAGACATACAGCCATAATATATTAAGTCAAACTATCTGAAATTCTATCTTATCCTATCTAATAAAAGAGAAACATGGTAATTAGCCGTATATCCGCTACCCTTCCCATTGGCTAATCAGGGTGATATGCAAATGAACTGCCAGCCAAGATGGCGGCCGGCAGCCAGGCAGCTTGAAGCTAACATGAGGCTTGTTTGCTGCAGTGACGGAGGAAACCAATGTTCTCTGCCTGCCTTGCTGGCCTCTGAGCCTACAGTTTGAAACATAGTGACAAATATAGAAGCTAAACAAAACCCCAGAAACCTGCTTTCAATGAGCCGGGATCTCAGAGCTGGAGTTATACATTGTTTCAATTATAGACACCAAACAAACC